TTGTTAAGCTGTAAGCTGCTCAAAGCCAGAGAAACTTGTTCTTATTTCCTTTGCCTTTCCCTTAGTACCTAATCATGTGTGGAAGTTTAAATGCTCCATAAATACTAACTGAAATCATTTATTGATTCACAGATGCCCCCAAACTACAGATATTGGGCTAAGAGTCAATACTCAACCCCTCTTCCTTGCAGATGGTTGGCTCCCGTTTAACATGCTGCTCAAATCCATGACAACTGGTAAATGTTCTCAGGCACCAATCCTTTCCCAAGTCATTGAAACAACTGTCCTGCCAAGTAGAAGATGAGCCTTTGACCTGGCTGAGGACACATGTGCCCTCTTGAGTGTCCTTGAAAATGCCTTTGGGGATCAGTGGATTGATGTGACCCTATAAGATCCCAGTCAAAATCTGATTTGTACTGGTTGTCCTTTATTACCCACTCATCTCCCTAAAGAGTGTATAGTGTACAGTGTCCTGTACTCGTCTGCTGGAACAGAATTGGATAAGCTGATAGCTGGGCTCCCTTCCAACTCAGAGCTATGAATTCTCTCCCAAGTATCACGAGATGACCAAGCACTCAGGGGTCAGGCTCAGAGGAGAGCCTTAAGAACAGAGACAGAGATTCTACTATGAACCACGTATCTAACATATACTATTTCAATTAATCCAGGCTTCCAGGCAGGGTAATTACCTTCCTGGCCCCATTTTACAGATGAAGAAACCAAGGCTCAGTGAAGTTAAGTAGCTTAACCAGAATAAGGTGCTGGTTGGCAGAGCTGGCTGTGCCTGTGCCTGGCTGCCTTCAGAGGCAATATTCTTTCACTCACTCTGGACTGCTGCTCCATTGAAAGGTTTGGTTGGGTTTTAATGCAGCACCGTCTGGCAGGGTAAGGACATGTTAGACTAGAAGGAATGTATCAGATATTGCTGCATAGCAAACTGTCCCAAACATTAGTGGCTTTGCATAGCAATCCTTTATTCCTACTCACACATCTGTGAGTTGGCTGATCCAGGGTGGGCTCTGCTGGGCAACTTTGCATCAAGCTGCAGGTTTGGCTGGCCTTGGGTCCTTGCTGCAAATTGGGTCAGATCAGTTTCACTGGGGTTTATTCTAGGACCCTGAAGGTGCAGCAGTTATCCAAGGAGCTAGCTCTTCTCTCAACATTGATCGAGATATGAGAGAGAAAATGGAAATGCACAATGAAGCTCAGAACTGGCATGCTGTCATTTCAAACATGTACTATTGGCCAAAGCAAATCATGGTCAAGTCTAAGTCAAGGGACTGGGAGTTACTCTGCCTCTAGTGGGAGGGACTGCAAAATCACCTGACAAAGGTGGAAAATACAGGGAGAAGGTGAAGGATTTGGGTCAGTAATTTTATTTATGAGAAAAACTAAAATCAACACAAGAGAATGAATGGCTGATGGGGAGCATTCTTAGTGTCTGTAGAGAAAATCGTGGGGAACAGGGTTCATCCTCAGTGTCCTTCCAGTTACACTACACAAGGAGCATCTACCCTGGTTTTCAATATCTGTGCTAGGGTCCCTCTGTAGATGCTCCTTAATCTTGGAAGCCTGTCTCCTCCAAGTTTCTCAGCTCCCTAATCTTCCCACATGATCCTAGACATCAACCTGATTAAAGGGACAAATTTCAGCAGTGTGGGTGGTGTGTAGAAATAGAGTGAAGAACAAAGCTACTTCCCATTTTCCTTTCCCTAGAGCCAACCAGCTCTTTTTTAGAAAATGAATGACTTTGGGGTACCTGGGTGGCTCAGTCGGTTAAGCATCTAACTCTTGGTTTAGGCTCAGGTGCTCAGTGTGAAGTCTACTTCAGATTCTCTCTCCCTCCCCCGCTGCCGACCTCCCCCCACGTTTGCACATGTATGCACATGCTCTCTTTCCCTCTAAAATAAATAAATAAAATCTTTTTTTTTAAAGATTTTATTTATCCATTCATGAAAGACAGAGAGAAAGAGAGAGAGAGAGAGGCAGAGGGAGAAGCAGGCTCCCAAGGAGCAGGGAGCCCGATGCGGGACTCGATCCCAGGACCCTGGGATCATGACCTGAGCCAAAGGCAGACGCTTAACCAACTGAGCCACCCAGGCGCCCAATAAATAAAATCTTAAGAAAAGAAAATGATTGACTTCTAGATCTCATGCCTATCTCAGTAGGGAATTAATCCAAGGATGGGCTGTACAGGAGGGAGCAAGGGAAGGGCTCTGGATGGTCAGAACCTGAGACCTAGGGAGATGGAGCTATTTAAATCTTTGGGCCAGCCAGTTGGCTCTCCTTGGGGACAACTAGAGAAGCAGAGCTAGAAAGAGTTAAACAGACCACCATGGAAATATCCCAATCATATTATGAACTTAGGAAATGTAACACCTGTGAGGCATCCAGGAAAAAAGCATTGAACCAAGTTGATGACTGCAGTCTTGATTAGTGCTGTCACCAAAAATTTCTGCTTCTTCTGAGTTCAGAAGAGTCCTTGACCCTTCGAAGTTAGGTATGACCATGTAATTTGCTTTGTTGTTTTGTTCACAATGAAATGTGAACAAATGTTGCTTTGTTCAGCGAAATGTGAGCGTAAGTGGAATATATCACTCTGGGTAGAGGCTTCGAAATACAGTGTGTAATTCACCATGGCACCTTGCCACTGCTGTGGTACTCATGGAAACTTTTTTTTTTAAGTTTTATTTAGTTAAGTAATCTCTACACCCAACATGGGGCTCAAACTCATGACCCTGAGATCAAGAGTCACATGCTCTTCTGACTGAGTCAGCCAGGCACCCCAAGCATGTATTGAAAGAGAATTTCCATCTACCTAACTATGAGTGATTACAACGGACAGAGCTCTCCTGATGGCATATACTAGATATGAAGCCTAAGACAGAAATCTACATTTGCTGGCTAAATCACTGAGCTTTGGGGGAGTGTTTGTTACAACAGCATAATCTGACCTATTCTGACTAATATAATCATCCAACTCAACCAACAGAGAGATGTATCAAAACAAAGAATTTGGGAGTGACAAAGCCAGGTATAAAGTAATTATACCAACAAGGATTGATGATAAGCTCTTAAATATACAACTAAGACTGAACAAATGCAGGCATTAAGCTTATGGGAATCATGTAAATGCTATAAACCTTGATAAGTTAAAAATAATACTAAAGCCAATTTTTTAAAATGAGAGGAATAAGAGTGCTAATTTCTTTTTACTCTTGTTTCTTTTTTTTTAATGGGAATTCATACCATCTAATATTGAAAAACAGAGTTTAAAATATACCTAATGATACTAACCTCTCTCTTATTGTTTTTCCCATATTATTCTTTACACTTGGAAGAACTTGATTTAGAAAGGACTATATCAAGTAATGAAGAAAAAAATTCAATGAAGTTCAATAATTCTCTCTGTTCCACTTTTTTTTCTTCTCTTGAAATAAAATTAAATTATAACACTTTTGTCTTAAGTTGGGTTCTTCTTGAACCCGACTGAAACTAAAATTGAATATTTCCTAGAGGGGTGATCCCAGGAAACCCTGATAGTAGAGTGGGAGGAGAAGAAAGCAAATGTCTGGGGGTGTTAAAAGGGTAAGGGGCCACTGTGGGGAGCTGGGCTCAACCCCGCTGGGAAGCTGGGAGATACCACCTCAGAGCTGTCCCACCCAGAGCACAAGGAAGCTGAGGCATTTAGCCATCAATTTCCACCCACGACTGGGTGTTAACTCCCTGTGCATGGTTGAATCCCCACTCCTGGAGCCAGAGAACCCTGCTGGCAGAGGCTATTCAGGAGCTTGCTGAGGAAAGTTACTGGGCTCTATTAGAACAGTGAGTGCCAACAGGATATGGGGCCAGGCACCAACAATATGTGCCAACATTTTTTTGAAATTATAAAGCCTGTATAATGGATTCACCTCAAATGAATTATGCTAAGTGAAAGAAGTCACTCTTAAAAGGCTACATAGTGTGTGATTACATTTAGTTGGCTTTCTGGAAATGTCAAAACTATAAGGACAAAAACCAGATCATTGGTTGGCAAAGGCTGGGGAGGGGCACCGGGATGAATACAGGAGGGCATTAGAGAACTCTTTGGGGCATTGAAAGTGTTCTCTGTCTTGATTCTGGAGGTGGTCATAAAACAATGCATTTGTCAGAAGTCATAGAACTACTATACCTAAAAAGGGCAAGTTTTACTGAATATAACTTATACCTCAGAAATCTGACTATGATGCTTTTAAAAATAGGTCTGCCATATTAGTTGCTGTTTCAAGGAAGCTTAGTTCTTTTCTCTTGAGGACTTAATGACTTGCTTCTAAAAATAGAAGGCAGAAGTTTTACAGTGTGAGTCAGAGACTGGTTCGTAAAAGGCACTGTGGCTTCCTGCTTGCTCTCTTACTCCCTCTTGGGTCAGCCACTTTGGGGGAAGCTAGATGCCATGCCATGTGTAGCCCTACGGAGAGGCCCACGTAAAGAGCAGCTGAGGCCTCCAGTCAACAGCTACGTGAGTGCAACGCCTTGAAGTGGAGCCTCCAGCCCCAGTCAAACCTTCAGATGACTGCTGCCCAGCTTCCAGCTTGCAACCTCATGGGAGACCCAGAGACAGAATCACCCAGCTAAGCCACTCTCAGTTCCTGACCCTAAGAAACTGTGTGAGGTAAAATTGTTTGTTTGAAGCCGCTATGCTTTGGGTTCATGGGCCATGCAGCAATAGATAACCAATACACTGGCTTAAAACTTAATCCCCACCTTAGAAGAAAAGATTCTTTTATATAAATTTATGCTGAGATACTTGGCATGATGTTCATGGGAGGTGAATGACAGTGGTTTCTGTGTGGGCGAATTTGGGGATCATTTGTCTTTTGTCTGTCCTCTTTTATATTCATGCATGACTTTGTATAATGAACGTGTATCCTTCAAGTTAAACACAAAAATAATGACTCCAAGCCTGGGTGCCAGTACAGAGTGCGCTGTTTACCCAGGCATCAGAGCCAGGAGGTTTGTGTCTATAGGAAGCAGGAGCACCACTCCTTCAGACAATGAGAACTCTCCTGGGCCTCACACTCAGTGGCACCACAACAACAGATGAGCCACTTCTGAAACTCTGCTTCGTTCTTGTGCATCAGAAGGAACTGTCCCAACAGGATGTAGGCCTGTGGGGCGGGGGAGAGGCAGGGAGAAAAACGGGAAAGGTTATAATAAACCAACCCAGAGGTGCTCTTATCCAACACCAGGACCCTCGTGAAAATCGAAGGAAGGGGCCCAGGTCTGGTTTGAGGGACAATGATGGCACCTGGGCGATGTGGATTCTGGGACCAGCCCTTGGTGAGATGTGAGGCCAAGTGAAATGCACATCTCTCGGGTCGGGTTTGGGGGAATGTTCAGCCTGGGGTAAACCAGAACCTGCCTTTCTCAACTTTAATGAGCACATAAATCACCTGGGACCTTGTTAAAAGGGAGGTTCTGACTCATTAAGTCTGGAGGGGGGCCTGAAAGTCTGCATTTCCAACATGTCCCCAGCTGATGCTGGTCCAGGGACATTTTGAGTAGCAAGAGCCTAGCATACTCCCTTCTGGCCTCTGATCTAGTATTTCTCTCTCTCTCTCTCTTTTTAAGATTTTAAGTAATCTCTCCATCCAACGTGGAGCTCAAACTTACAATCCCAAGATTAAGAGTTGCACGCTCCACCAACTGAGCCAGCCAGGTGCCCCTAGTATTTCTTTTTAACACAGACACACGCACACATGCACACATGCACGCGCACATAACGAAGAATCAGAAATGCTCCCCACCCCATCACTTTCTCAATCCATCTTGCAGAGTTTCTAACTCTCTTGGCTGTTGACATTGTGGATAATTTTGTGCTGTTGGGGTGGGTTGGGGACTGTCCTGTGCATTGCAGCAAGTTTAGCACCATCCCCAGTCTCTACCCACTAGATGTCAGGAGCAGTCCCCCAGCCCCCCAAATTGTGACAGTCATAAGTGCCTCCAGACATTGCCACATGTCCCCTCCAGACATTGCCACAAAAGCTCCTTTGACCAAGAACCACTGCACGTGGGACTGGTAGATGAAGGGCATCTTAACACCAATCTGTTCTTGCAAACCAGCTGTGTGACCTCAGGCAACTCACTTAACCTGAAGTGAGGACCCCAAGAAACAGGGTCTCAGTTTCTGCATTGCCTGAAGGCTCACAACATGCCCTGCCCCACCTTGCAAACTGAATTAAGTAGATTCAGTGTGAAAACATCAGGAAAATGCAAATTCCTTATTTGTCCTGGAATGCTTAGCCTGTGGGAGGAGCACAGAATGTAAAACACGATAAACCTTGCCCATCCTTCCCTTCTGAAAAGTCTGTGCGCATGAAAAATGCACATAATTAATACTAAGTACACCAGGACTGATAGCTCTTCGGCATTCTCTCATTTTCTAACTACTATTCTACAACTTTCCCTAATCTCTTTATAATTTTATCACATGATTATTGACAAGGAGCGAGGACTACATGGAGAAAGGGACGCCCAAGACCAAGTGGCCACAAATTGACTGAGCCGCTCAATGGTGAAGCCTGGAGATTTAAGGTCATAAACGCCCTTCATTCGCTGCTGGTTTGGGGGCTCTCCAGCCTGGAATGAACGAGAACCAGTGTCCATGCCTGCCGTCCTGGGCCTTCTCCAGGAAAACCTGCTGCTGTCTATTTACTTTCAGTTACATAAAACAAAGCAAACTTCATCTGAACCAAAGGGAACATTTTTTTTTTAAAGAAATTAAATAAAAGCTGAATTGCAGTTGTAAAATGTACCCAAGCTGTTGGAGCTTGGGGTTTATTTTTAGTCATGGTCTGGTTGTTGAGAAGATTAAAAAAACAGCCAGGATGTCATGGTCATTTTCAACTGTTACTTGAATCATCTTTTTAGAAAAGCCATATTATTGCTTAGAACGATCTCATATCCTTGTTTTTTCGGTGGTGATTTTATGGAGATGTCTTTTAATTCAACATTTAAAAAAAAATGAACATCTATTGAATGTTAATTGAGCCAGGTGCTGCAGTGGGTGTGGGGGGTGGGGTGCAGAGGTGGATGACAGGATCAAGGAACAAGGAGCTCTGTCCAGGGAGAAAGAACATTAGGGAAGATGATAAATAATAGTAATAATAGTGATAATAGTAATGGCGCTTGAGGACCTTTGATGGGCTCCAGATCCCTGGCACGTTTTAACCCCGTCCCATTCTCCAGATGGAATCACTGAGAACAGAAGAGGTTTTCCTGAGCCCCATGTTTGCCCATCCTGACTGTCCACATCTGGCCTCACACCTATGGAGGCCTCTGCCCTTTTGGAGGCCCCGCTGTTGGCATCAGCTGGTCGGGTGATCAGAGCCTCCGTATCCCCTCCAGCCTCAGCAGCTGGGAAGCCAGGGAACACATGCCATGTAGGACCACAGGCAAATTTTCCAGGAACGCTGCAGGAAGAAGGGCCTCTTCTCGTGGCCTCTGGAACCAAGTTGCCACTGACTATTCCTCGTCCACTCACTCTGCCACCCTCCAGGGGTGGGGAGGAAAAGTTAGCCATCGTCATGGTCCCCATCCCCGCCCTGCCCAAAGTCTGTTCTGTTTCTCCACTGGCTCCAGAAAGTGACCAAAGCTCACAAAAATCTGGCTGCGGGGAGGGTGACGCAGAGACACGGGGACGTTGAGCAGCCATGGCCTAGTCCCACCACCTTGGACAGAGGCCCCCCCCTTGGTTTAATGCTTTGCTGCGGTCATCTTGAATTCCTCAGGATAGGGGAACAAGGGGCCTCATATCTTCATTTCATGCTAGGTGGCTGGTCCTAGTCCATGCCAATGAAAATCTTCCATCTTCACTGTGACACCTGGCCTTTTCTTTTCTTTCGTTAACTGTTTTTTTTTATTTGAGCAAAGTTGACACACGTTTGTTTCAGGTGTACAACATAGTGATTTTACACCCTGCAGGTTATGCAATACTCCCCACAAGTGTACCTTCTGTCACCTGACCTTTGCAAACACATCCACGGTCTTGGCCCTCACTGATTCTCAGGCTTCTCTCTCACCTTTGCCTGCAATGCCGGCTCCTTGGAGCCTAGAGGGAATGCATTTACGTGGCTACAAGACTTCTTTGGGGGATCAACAACTCTCTTTTTCTCTAACCGGATTCTGGCTCTTCAGTCTTCGCGGCCACTGGTAGCCAGCGACAATCTTGAAAATCCGGTACCTCTCGGTCATTTCTGGTTTAAAACTCCTTGTCTTAGTGCGAATGCTTGATCCAATGCAGGGCTTGCCTCTTCTTTCTTCTCCATGCCTCCCTGGGATATACTTACACTAAAAAATTATTTGTTTGACTAAAATTCAGATTTAATGGAGCAGGTCCTTGTATTTTATCTGGCAACCCTATGCAGGGTAACCCCAAACTTCCACGACTGACTCCTTGCAGGGCCCAGACATCAGGCAGTGGGGGAGGGGCTCTGCATGACTACCCCCCACCCCCAGAGACTGTCTGTCCAGATGCAAATTTCACCTCTCTAAGCCCGAGTGACTTTGAGCAGGTCACGCTCTGTGCCTTTGTTTCCCCATTGGTAAAACAAAGGTGAAATAGTATACCTTATAGGATTTTCTGATGCTTTGATGAGATATAAATAATGCACTGAGGACAGAGCCTGACATGTAGCAAACATCATGCACAAGTTCTGCTGTTAGGAGAGCCTTAGGGAGCAGGCGGGCACCCATACATATATCCCTTACTGATCTTCCAAGTATCTTTCCGGAGGAAGATTCAGGCTCAAGGATAGGACTTTATAGTGTCTTCAAAGAACATTGAGCCGAACCAGATTCTCTGGGCTGGTAAACTTACTTCCTCACTGTTGGATAACTTCAGGGTTATCCCCCAAGTAATGCACCCGCCCCATAGGGCACTGTGCAAAGTCCCTGAATTTACTGAGTGCCTGGAAATTCCCTCATCCCTGGGCAGTGTTTTCACAGGGAGAAGAGGAGTACAAAGATTGTAGAACCCTCCTGTGCTTCACAGGAGACGTGGAAGAGCCCCAAAGGCAAGCTGTGCCTCTCTAGCATAATGAGGGTGGGTACTCAGGCCATGTGTGGAAAGAATAGTTAACAGTACAGATGTCACAGCAAGGGGTCCTACTGAATACTCAGTGTTCAGAAGCACAAGCTTATTAGGCTGGGGTAGGCGGGCAGAAGGAAGGCATTCTTCCCAGAGAAGGTCCACTGTGAATGGGGTCCTGAAGTGGGGGAATGTTCATTTCAAGAGAGGCCTGCGGGCAGGTGGTCCCGTCTGTGTTTGTGATTCATGGACAGTGGGGCTTGGGTATGGAGGGGGTGGGGGTGGGAAATATAAGACAGAGCTAGAGCCAGGCCATCGAAAGCCTCTTGAGCGTCTTGTGCACCAACATATTTTCCCTTCCCGGTCATTCCTTTGTCCCTTTCGGCCCTTCTGCTGTTAAATCTAGACCAGCACTGTTCAGTAGAAATTTTTTTTAAAGATTTTATTTATTTATTCATTTGAGAGAGCGAGAATGAGAGAGAGAGAGAGAGAGAGCACATGAGAGGGGGGAGGGTCAGAGGGAGAAGCAGACTCCCCGCTGAGCAGGGAGCCCGATGCGGGACTCGATCTCAGGACCCTGGGATCATGACCTGAGCCGAAGGCAGTCGCTCAACCAACCGAGCCACCCAGGCGCCCTGTTCAGTAGAAATTTAATGTGAGCCAGCCACATATACAATTTTTAATTTTCTAGTAGCCACAGGAAAAAGGTGGGGGGGATGAAACAGGTGAAATTAGTTCTGATAATATGCTTCATTTTCTCCCATATGTCACAAATATCATTTCAAAGTGTAATCAATAAAAAACTATTGATGAGATACTTTGCATTGGGTGGGGTACTTTAAAATTCTAAATCTTTAAAATAAAATCATGGTGTGTACTTTGTATGCATAGTGTTAAAGCATTATTCAGACATGTGCTCTGCAGGTACAAATGGCCAGTGGCCACTGTATCCGACAGCAGAGATCTAGATCTGCCAAGGCTGACCGCCTGGGAGAAGAGCGGGCACAAAATACCTCAGAGAGAATTCAGCGAAATTTTTGACTGTCAAAGTCCTGAAGAGACTTGGGTGAATCCATAGAAGAATCAATAGTTTTAAAAGTCATGGCATAGCTGGGGGAGGGGACAACTAGACCCCAGGAGAGGCCAGCAAAGGATAGCATGAGACCCAGGCAGGTACCCTCCCTAAGGTCTCTTGCAGCCAGGGTATAAAAATCCAGGAGCTCAGAGGATTCTAGGGCGGTGAAACAGCTCTGTACATTACTATAATGGGGGATATGTGTCCTTATACATTTGCCCAAACCTATAGAAACTGCGAGTGAACCCTAAAATAAGCTATGAACCCTGGGTGATTACAGTGTGCCAACGTTAAGTTCTTTGATGGTTACAGATGTACCACTCTGGTAGGGGTGCGGCTCATGAGAGAGGATGTACATGTGGTGGGGGGAGGGGGTACATGAGAAATCTCTGCATCTTCTGCTTAATTTTGCTGTGAACCTAAAACTGCTCTAAAAATAAAAGCCTAAAAATATGCTAAAAATAATAATAAATAATAATAAAATATATGCGAAATCTGAAAGCCCTTCCCTGTAGGATCTGCCTGCCCTGGAGGCTCTTCCTGCTGGCCCTAGCCACTGACCGGTCCTCACCCAGAAGCACCTGTTCACCTTTGTAGGTGCCACATCCGATCTCCTGGATCCTTTTACAGGCCCAGCCCTGAAACAGAGTCTCACCCCCGAATCCCAGGGTAAGCCCTCTCCCCGCCGTGGTAACCCCTGGGACCCAGATCTTCCTGTGCGGCTTGTGACAACACAATCCCTCGCCATTTTTGTCCTCACTCAGGACCTTGATCAAGGCACTCACTCCCAGGAGCCTCTGTCCTCTCCTTTGTGAAGTGGAGATAGCGACCCTCATCTCGTTTGCAGGTAGGTGAGGGGCTCAAAGCAACGGAGAAAGGTGAAATCCCCTACGTTAGTGTTTGGAATTAGTGACCCTAGGAATGAGTAGGGCCTGGAAGTGGTGTGTTGGTCACTGTGCTCACCAGGAGGTCATGAGCCTAAGAGGGTCCTGGCCACACCCAGGCAAATGGTTTCTTCTTCCCTACAGCCCTGATTCTGTGCAGCAAGTTCTGGGATGCCTGAAATTTACCCATTATTCATTCATTCCTTTATCTTAAACATGCCTATTGCCCCACCTGTAATCCTCATTTAAAACACAGGCTGGAAAAGACAAAACTATAGGGACAGAAAATAAATCAGTGGTTTGTTGGGGGCTGAGGGTGGGGAATATGAAGGGCACAGAGGAACATTTTGAAGTGTTGGGATTGTTCTGTGTCTTGATTGTAGTGGCTTCATGACTGCATGCATTTGTTAAACCTTGCAGAACTGTGTACTAAAAAAGGTGAAATTCACTGCATGTGAATAAAAATATTTTTAAAATGCTGAGTCTGGCTGAACAACAGCAAAAAAACCCACAACCCATTAAATCAAAGGGGGTAGAAGCCAAAATAATGGGTATATCTGAGAGTGGGGGATGACATTGATGGGGGAGAGACACAAGGGGATCATCGGGCATTCTGGAGGTATCCAATCACTGAATCTGGGGGGTGCCTCCGTGAGTGTGTGCGTGTGTGTGTGTGTGTGTGTGTGTGTGTAAAAATTCACTGAGCTGAACCCTTCATATCAATGTTGGTGCATTACACCACAATAGAAAAGAAAAGGGACAATCATTTCTTTCAAAAAGGAATTTTTAATTTAAAATGTCTTCCCTAAGCAGACTTTGCTTACTTCACTACTTCCTTGGGAAGGGTTCCATCTCCTTTATCTGGGAGGAAAGAATCCAATCCACCTCAATGGTGGAGCTCCAGCTTCCTGGCAATACCACCTAGTGGATATTAAATGCGCCAGTAGATTGGGGTGATATTCAGAATATTTCACAACTGGTATAAGCAGCGTGTTGACCAGAAAAGCAGAGGCCCACTAGTTCAAGGCCCCCTAGAAACAGCATGCATGGTGCAGGTGCACACCAAACTGATTATCAGCCGTGTGTGCAACAGTTCCCAGCTTTGTCAGGCGTTTCTGCAACATCTTCCTGCGCAGTGGTATAGACTGACATTAGAAACTGAAGGGAATGAGCAGCAGTAGCTGTGAGCAAAATCTCTCAACTGAGCGCACAATGCTCCACGTGAATTCCCATCCACCTCTGTATGTGCTCACCCTCTTTGGGTTCTCCTCGGGATCGTCTCCCATTCTCCCTAAAGTTCCAAGCAGCTTTAAGAGCACCATAAAAACAAATAATTACATAGAAAAGAGTGTTCCGATTCCACTGGGTACCCTCGAGGCCATTCTTGGGCTGTGAGTGACATCTTAGAACAACTCATATCCTCTTACTCTGGCATAGACCCCAGGCTGCTGTTACTCCACCTGCCATTGCCAAGCTGGTGCCCTAGTCAGGCAGGCGAGACCCCACGAGTCTTTCATGGAGGTGGGAAGTATGTGCAAATCATCCATCCTGACAGCGCAGCCCCAGACTCGGGCGGCTGGCTCACTTCTGTTGACGCATGGGGGTTTGAACACCAAGTGAATCATGCCCTGCCCAGCTGCTCTGAGCCAAAGCCATTCAATTTACCCATCATCTACTGGCCCTCGAGGCTGCCCAAACATGAGGGGTCAGTGACGCTGAAGCAAGTGGCGCTCTGCCAAGTGGTGGCTTTGCTCTGTGATGGCCCCTTGCAGGGACACATAGCAGTGGCCGCCATCTGGCAGGGCTAGGGGAAGAGAGGTCGGGGAGTGAAGTTGGGGCAATAAGAAAAAAATGAGTTACCTTGTTGAAACCTTTGGTGACCAAATTGATTGCAAGCTCACGGCTGATCCCGTCCACCCAGGCAACATCCTTTTCTCCAATGGGTTCAGAGAGGAAGGCTCTCAGCCTGGGAGACATGTGATCCATCTTCTGTAACAGCGGTGGGAGAACAGGGTTAGGAGGTGGCTGGCTGCTCACAGGGAGAGAGGACACTGGGGGACTGCCCTGCTGAGGGATGGGGGCAACAGATGGCAGGCTTCCTCCCACCACTCAATATTTATTGAGGACTTTGAGATGTCAGGGGCAGCGCCCTGCCCTGAAGACCTCAACACATCCATTCCCGCCTGGATGGACTGAGAAATGTACAATGATGGCCCTGGATGCGTCTAGTAAATTCCACCAAAGGGGTGTGTTTAATGCTAAGAACTGTGATGGGTTCCTCTCTGCTACTCTTCCTGCTGTCAGTGCTTAAAGAAACACTGCTTCTTGGGAGCAGAATTGTGGTTGGAGAAATGGGGATATGTTGTTGGTCAGAAGGTGCAAAGGTTTAGTTACGTGGAATGAATAAATTCTGGACATCTGTGTATACAGCACGGTAATAATAGTTAACAATAATATATTGTATACTTGAAGACTTCTAAGAGGGTAGATCTTAAATTACATCTTAGTACACACACATACACTAAAAGATACCGGATCAGTTGTTTAGCTTGATCATGGTGATCTTTTCAGTGTGTGTATGCCAATCAAATTGCGCACCTTAATATAAACAGTTTCTGTAAGTCCAAGATTTCTCAATAAAGTTGTCTTAAAGGGAAAAAAAAGAAATCATTGCTCCTCTTAGCTAATTAACCCACCTTCTCTCTTTACTACCAACACTTTTTCATATTTTTATTTTAGCATTTACCACACTCTGTAATAGTTGGTTGTTTAGTGACACAACAGAAAACTCTTCAACTGGATCAACTATCAAAGAAGACATTATAAAACTCAAAAGCCCAAGGGTAAGGATGGGTATGGTGCAGTCAAGGCCACAACTCCATTTTCTCTGATTCTTTCAACTTTTCCTCCTTGTGTTGGCTTCGGTCTCGATTGGTTCCCCTCATGGCAGGGAAATGGCTGCTTTAGGACTCATATTTCCCAACACCGAGCCCCAGAAGAAGAAAGGAAGAGAAAGAACGTGTCTCTGAGGCATTCCAAGCAGAGCCTCATCCAGTCCTGAAGGTCTGCATAGGGTTACCAGTGTGAGCTTAGTGTTGGCAGTACACTCCAGTCCTATATCTGGGAGGGGAGTTAGCTTTCTTCAAACCATATAAGCTGTGAGATCAAGCATAGTTACCTGAACAAAATCAGGATTATTATCCGGAGAAGGTGAGCTGAGTGTTAAACAGTAACCATAATACCCCACTATCGTCCACCCCTTTGGTGACCCAATGTCTATACATTCTTCTTCCACTACATAATCATCAGAAATACCCACACTTGGCTAAAGTAGACTCACCTCCTCCCCCAATGGGTGAAGCCCTATGACTCATCCAGTTACTGGATTCAGATTCAAGTTCATATTTTCTGGAAGATGCATCATATTCTCCATCATGTCTGGAAGTAGCAACTCATGGGATGATAACTTATGAACTGAATTCTGAACTTCACCACCATCAACATAGTCAATAGTGAGGGGGAAAAACCCCAGTTTATCTGCAATAAGAATTTCCAGAAGGGGAATTCTCCATTTGGAGAAGGGGACCATGGGAAACACATTCAGGTGTCATTGGCCAACAGTACATGCAGTCTTGAGGAAATACTGGAGATTCCTTGCCATGGTGGTAAAGCAAGTGCCTTAGTCAGCCGAGATGGTGGCCCCCAGCTCTGCGTTTGGGTGTAGCTAGCCCGTCTGCTGCCTTGCCAAAATTTGAGTGGGCGTGTGTCTTTCAAGGAAAGTCATTGCTTTAACAACACACTTCTGGTTGGTACAAGTTCAGGGGTTGCCCCAAGGAATGGGCAATTTCAGGCATTGGTTGGCTCCTTTCTTTGGCAAGTCAGCATCCTTAAGAATATCCTGGATTTCTTCTATTCAAGTCTTTGGGCTGGTAGTTCAAGCTGGATTTGGTCTCAGGTCAGAATCCTTGAGCTGGCAACAGGGCTCTGTGCCTTGCCCACTGCCCTGCTCCCCAGATTAGTGGCATCTTCCTTCACCTCTGACGCGAAGGTACCCCACATCGGCTACCTGCCCCCCAGCTGTATCCTAGCTCCATGTTCTCAGTGAATGAGCTGTCCCCTTCATCAAGCTTGAGGTACCTAAGACAAGACGCTCCATAAAGACCTGGGACCTGGGGACACTGTTTTTCCAGGGCCCTGATCTTTTCTCTTGCTAAGCCACCTGATTTGCTGCCTGGGTTCTAACTTTAGCCAGTTACATCAGCTTTTCTGACCCAGCAGGGCTTGCTTATCAAAGTCCAGTCACTTCAGCTGGCATGCCACAGGCAGAAAGGCCCTCTCTCAGCAAAGCTGTGTTTTTATTCCTCCCCATTTTCAAATGGGCTACCCTCCTCCTAAATTTGAGTCTCCTAGGACCTTTTTTTTTTTTGTTTAAAGATTTTATTAATTTATTTGAGAGAGAGCACGAGGAGGGCCGGAAGGAGCAGAGGGAGAGGGAGAAGCAGGCTCCCTGCTGAGCAGGGAGCCCAACGCAGGGCTCGATCCCAGGACCCTGGGATCGTGACCTGAGCTGGAGGCAGACGCTTAACCGACTGGGCCACCCAGGTACCACAAGTCTCCTAGGATCTTAACAAAGACTGCCAGAGGTAGCCAACATCCTGAGTATTTCCCACCAGATCTCTCCAAATGTCCTATCTCCCTACACATAGGGTCTGTATCCCAGGGTTAAACAGGGAGAACCAGCCATTTTGCTAGCCCGGGATCAGCGTCTTCCTAGTTCAAGGGGACATCCTGCTGCTCTTCATGTGAATACCTCTTCTCAGCCAATCCACATTTGAGGTTTGCTTATTGTAGCATCCCCTTCTTGGTACCAAACTCTGGGTCAGTTTGGACAGTTTGTAATTCAAGGAACAGAAAAATCCAGTTCAAACTGGCTTACATAGTAAGAAGGTCTTATTAACAGCTGCCACCAAGAAGTCCGGAGGTGGATCACATGCTTGAGGAAGCTCTGGCTTGAGTTCCCTGCAACTCTCTTGGCTTGGCCTTCCTTTATATATGGGCTCAATCCTCAGCTTGACTCTTTCGTGGAAATAACTGGGCTGTGGCCAGACCTGGCATCACTTTTGCAAGGCACGCCCTCCTCCCTCAAAAGAAAACTGTTTTTCCCTAGAAGCTGCCAAGGAATGCCTTCTCCAGTCCAAGTCATCATATGTCAAGACCAGATATGTGTCCTACCTCTGGTTCAGAAGGCAAGTCAGTGACCTACAGAGCACCCAGGCTGCAGGGGTGAGGATGCGGCACAAAGTCAGGGTAGTTGCCATGTTAGTGGGGGTAGTTACTCCATACCATGATATGGGACAAGGTCAGGAGAGCAACCCAATGTCCACCATATATTCCCCAGTAGATTGTGAGGGCCACAGCTGCCTCCTAACGCCCTTTGCTTCCCACCCCAGCCCCAGGCAGGCAAAGGGCAAGCACTTGGCGACGGAAATGACCGATCCATCCATTGCTTTCAGATATCTCCAGCGCTGGCCCCCTCACTTGTTCCCACGCTCCCAGTTCTCCACACCTAGAGTCTAGCTCCCCTCATAAGGCTTCCTGCCACAGGAGACATTCTGTGACACTTAGGGACACACACTCTCCAAGAAGTGATGAATCTGAAGGCACTGACTGTAGGAGTTAGGAGGCATCTAAGAGACCTTGATGTGCCAGCTGGTTCGAGGAAGGGGAGCACAAGGCAAGACTGGGCCCCAATACTGCGGGTCTCAAATACACAGATGTGTGAGCTGTGAATACACTATTATGGGGGAGGGGTCTCCATCTCTCCAGCAGCTAAATATGAAGATCTCTCTTAATCTGTGAAAATACGCTAAAAAGTGAGCTCTGCAGCCCCCATCACCTCCTGGGACGAGGAGTCGGCATTGGGGGTCCAGCTCTGGACTGGGCTGTAGGAGATCAGTGTTTCTGAGCAGGAGGAAGAACCCCAGAGCTCTTTCACCAGCTTTGTCGGGGAAAATTCCATTCACTATCCACGTTGGCCATCTGTTAAGTTAAACATCTCTGCCCATTAAAAGAATAAATGGAAACTACAACATCGCTATCAATGCAGCCCAGCAGCATCAAAGACAGGTAATGATTAGCAACACCTTGTGTGTATTTGCTTTTCTCACACAACTGATCTCATTTTGATCCTTGCAACACTCTGGAGCATAGGCAGCAGGAATTTTTATCCTCCTGAGGATCCATTGAATAGAGGCCTTCACATTCATTAGGATGCCTTTGTCTTAGGCAGTGGTTCTCAACTGGGGGCAAATTGTACCCCCCCTCCGCCAAACCCCAAATTGGCAAACTGTCTGGAGACACTTTGGGTTGTCAAAACTGAGGGAGGAGAGCTATTGGCATCTAAGGGTAGAGGTCAGGGTTGCTGCCTAACGTCCTGTAATGCACACAACAGCCCTTCCACAACAAAGAATTACCCGGTCCCACACGTTGGTAGGTTCAAGGGTGAGAAACCCTTGGCTAAAAGTAACAGAAAACCTGATTCAAATGGTCTTAAAAAATACTTTTCTAATCTCACATAATCATAAATCTATCAGTGAGGTGGACCCCAGGATCTTGTCAGTCAGCGTCTGTGTGTGTGTGTGTGTGTGTGTGTGTGTGTGTGTGTGTGTGTCAAGAACCAGGCCAGTTGCGTCCAAGGTCCCAAAATGCATACAGAATTTGCTTGGGTCCCGTCCAGACATGAAAACTTCCAAAAGGAAGGACAAGCCATTTCTTCTCGGGTGTTCCCAGAACCTCTTCAGTAGAACTTGCCTTAGTTGCATTGGCCAGAACCAGGCAGCATGCCCACCCGGAAACCAGTCACTGGCCAGGGGAGTGGTTTGCGTGGGGATGCAGATGAGGTCAGCCCGCTGGACATATGGCCTTTCAGAGAACGCCAGGTTCTGGAGGAAGTAGGGAAAGGAGGTGGATGCTGGGTAGCAAATGACTGAGTCCACCATGTCTTCCAACCTGGTCAAATGTTCTGTCCATCACAACTAGCACTTCTCAAAGTTTAATGTGCACATGGACCACCTGCGGGGGGGGGGGTCTTGTTTAAAAATGTGGGTTCTGATGCAGAAGACCTGGGTGGGGCCCAAGGTGCTGCATTCCTAACCAGCTCCTAAGAAGATGCCCATGCTGGGAGCTCACAGATCACACTTGGAGTAGCAAGTCATTACATGATGCCACTTTTTCTTTTTATATTTAATGGTGGCAAAATATACATAGCATAAAATTTACTGTCTTAACCATTCTTAAGTGTCCATTTAGGTAGTGTTAAGTATATTCACATTGTTGTGCAACCAACCTCCAGAACTCTTTTCATCTCACAAAACTGAAACTCTAAACTCATTAAATAGCAACTCTCCACCGTCACCTCCCCCCAGCCCCTGGCAACCACCACTCTATTTTCTGTATATGAATTTGACTACTCCAGATTCCTCATTTAAGTAGAATCATAAGTATTTGTCTTTTTGTGACTGGCTTATTTCACTTAGCCTAATGTCTTCAAGGTTCAACCATGTTGTATCATGTGTCAGAATCTCCTTCCTTTTTAAGAATGTATAATATTCCACTGTATGTATATATCATATCTTGTTTATTCACTCACCCATCAGCGGACACTTGGCTTGCTTCTACCTTTTGGCTATAGTGAGTAATGCTGCTATAAACACGGGTGTGCAAATATCTCTTCAAGATTCTGCTTTTAATTCTTTTGGATTGAGTGGAATCACTGGATTATATGGTAATCCCATGTTTAATCTTTGGAGGAACCACCGTACAGTTTTCCATAGTGACTGTACCAGTGCTGTATATTCTTAAACTTTACCACATATTAGACTCACACTGGGAGACACAAATAACCAAAGCTTGGGTTCCTCCTCTAGCATTTGACTTAATTAGCATGGGGTGTGGCACAGACATCGGAATTTTCAAAAACTCCCAGGTGATTCCAATATGCTGCCAAGCTTGAGAACCACTGTTGCCTTGTCATTTGCTTCTCATAAAATTATAAGCAGGTTTTCTAGGTCCCAGCTAAGTGGGTTGTTATAGTGGGTTGTCTATGTCTGTGTTGCCAGATGGCTTATGCTCACCAACTAGCAGGCAGTGTCTGTCCCCCCTTCCCCAGGCACATCATATCTTCATTAGCCATCAGTGGGAAGATTTAACTATGACCCCTGATGGCTTTGAAGTCAGAGAACTTCAGAGCGGACAGGCCTCTATAATGGCCTACTCCTTTTTTTTTTTTAATTAAAAAAAGGGGTCTTTACTTCAAAGGAAATTTTACCTGGAATCCCTTTATATAAAATAGACCAAAGCAGAATAACTCTGTTGACTTGCCTATGAGGGGAAGGCACCAGAGCCACCCTGGGATATATATGGAGCCGTCCCTATGGTTCCCCTTATGACCCCCTCAAACCCCTGTCTGATCCAGCCTACACCCCTCATTTCACCTGTAAGAAAACCAAGGCCTCAGAATTTAAGTGACCTGCTCAAGATCCTACACTTAGCAAAACAGGGTTGACTCTGTTTCCCAGGGGAGCACTCTTTCTAAGTCATGGGGCATTTCCAGGGTGGGTTTCAGGGTGGGCTATGTTATGGTCAGATCAAGCACTCAGCCATCACAAATGCCTTGACATAGTCCTGCCCCATAAAAGAGTCTTGGGTTACAGGGCGTTCTATTAATTACATCGTTTCGAACCACAAAGTACTGTTTGGGGAGGATACATTGGCAGGAAATGACTTCAACCAAGTCTGGTTTTAGAGGCTAAGAGAAGTCACTCACCTGTTTAAATAAGGAATAAAGGGTCAATGGAATTTAATCACCACTCCCAAAGGAATGACCTTCTGGTTGCAAGTGTTTGACATCCTTTAAAGATCATTTAAAAATCTATACAATAAGTCTTTGTGAAGAGGCAATCCCAAACGCGCCCCATCAGATAAATGGAGTGGGGTGGGGACGCTGCTCTAATACCATACAAATGGGTATTTGGGGCTTGGGATAAGATTTCCAGTAGGGACATTGTACACAAGTTTAAAAAGTAACACCTCTCAACAACCATTAGCTGAAAGTGAAGTCATTAGTCTCTGGAGCCCAAGTAAGATGAACTCTAGAGCTGACCCCAATGATGGAGACACGGGTATGCACCATACAAGAACATAGCTAGAATACTATAGTTTCTTGAAATCTAAATGGAAAAGTGTAATATTTCTAAATATATTACTTTGCATAATATGTTATTTTAAATGTGTATAATTAAATTATGAAATGAAAAGGTATAAGCAAACTATTTTATCTACATCCCTAAGAGTTTATACATTCAAATGGCCCAAAAAAGCATTTTCGGAGGGGTCTTCTAATTGAGCAAATGAGAGGTTCTTTTATTTTCCTGTTTGCTTTATATTTGGGCATATGTAGTACTGCCTACTCCAGGAACTGTGATGTTGATATTACTTAAGCTTTATGTTTTGCTCTCCCCTTTTATTGAAGGGGTACAGGACAGAAATCTGCATAGGTGGTCACATTGTTGAGGGGGCTGCTGCCCACATTTTTTCTAGAAAATGCCCCCTATGGTGAATCTTTTTTTATGTGAAGAAAAAAGTATACTTTTCAAAATTGGTATATTTGTCTTTATGAGGAAAAGAATTTGTAAACATATTTCTCTTTTTACTCAGCCTACTGGGAAGCTTTGAGCTAAACCTACCGGCCACATTTAGAAATCAGCATGGATAAAATCTCTCTCCCTTCCTACTTCTCATATTTGCTTCTTCAGCTCAATGCCCTCATTTTCTTTCTACTTTTACTTTAAAACTTAAATTTATGTGCTCAGAGTACTCACACACTTTTTAAATTATGCTGCTTTATTACGTGCTCAAAGCCTCAAAGATATGGAGAATAAAAATAGTTCCTAAACTAAGCAGATTTATGGAAAAATTCAGGGTCCATCCCTATGGTCTCGAAATCCTGCAGCCTTGTAGCACCAAGGGAAGACAAGAAAATGAGGTTGAGAATAATCTCAGGACTGTCCCTACGGAGGCCCTTGCCTCCAGCACGCAGATGATGGGACAACGGAGTTGGACCAGGAGGGAATGAGGACAGTACGCATTTCTCACCCCTCAGGATCCAAAGGAATGTTGTCTCTCAAATACCATTCCTGGCTCTCTACACCTCTGCCCCGCTCCTCCAAACTCTCTCTTCTCCCTTCAAATGACCCGGTCTGCCTCTCCCTCCCAGTCATTCCCAGATAAAGAATAAAAAGAAAGGTGGTAATGTTCCTATGACATTGAGGTCTGACTCTGAGGAGCTCTCTCCCCCTTAAGCTGTTAAAGGTCTGAGGAGACACTGTAAGGTTGCCTCCCTTTTTGGATGGAAGCTCATGTCTCCAAGGCATAGGGCTCTACTTTGTACAGTCAACTCAGGAATTACTTTCCGGGGCCTACCATGCTCACCACAGTGTCCCGTGGCCACATTTCACCTTCTCAGGCCACATCCTGGTGCATCTATGAATGGCTTTCTCTGTGAGGATTGCTCAGCTGGCAGGCTCTGTGCCTGCTGGAGGCCATCTTTGTCAGGATGTATGGAGAGCCTGCCTGAGAAGGAAGCGACATGGAGAGAAGCAGATCTGAGGGCAGTGCAGATGGGCAGAAGAAATGCCCAAGCTAGGGAGTCAGAGAGATGCAAATATCTGTCCTTCACTTACTAGCTGGGAGACCTTGAGAGGATTTCTGAACCAAAGACTCTGTTTCCTCATCTGTACAGTGGGCATAATGAATGTCACCCACCCACAGGGTGGTTGTGCAGATCAGGTGAGTTAACTGAATGTCAAATGTGCAGTACACTGTCTGGAAGAGAGTAAGCACCACTGCAGATGAGACAGTTCATTGGGGTTGTATCGCACCATGATTTCCCAAGCCTATTGTTACACAAATCTCTATCTATGGTTATATGGTCAAGTTGATTTCTGTTGCTTCTAAGCACAATCTTCTTCTTCTTCTTTTGGTTTCATTTTTTATTTAAATTCCAGTTAGTTAATATACAGTGTAATATTAGTTTCAGGTGTAGGACTTAGTGATTTATCATTTACATACGACACCCAGTGCTCATCACAACAAGTGTCCTCCTTAATGCCCACCACCTTTCTAGCCTAACCCCTGCCCACCTCCCCTCCAGCAATCTTCAAGTCTATTTTACAGTTTGCTTCTCTCTTTCTCCCCTCTTTGTTCATCTGTTTTGTTTCTTAAATTCCACATATGAGTGAAACCATATGGTGTTTGTCTTTCTCTGACTGACTTATTTCACTTAGCATTATACTCTCTAGATCTATGTTGTTGCAAATGGCAGGATTTCATTCTTTTTTATGACTGAGTAATATTCCATTACATATATGTATACACACACACACACACACACACACACACACACACACACCACCACCACCACCACCACCACACTTTCTTTATCCATTCATCAGTCAATGGACATTTGGGCTCTTTCCATAGTTTGGCCTCCAATGTGCAGAGGCCCATAAGACATAAGGGTGCGTGTATCCCTATGAATCTCTATTTTTGTATCCTTTGGGTAAATACCTAGTAGTGAAATTGCTGGGTCATAGGGTAGTTCTATTTTTAACTTTTTGAGGAACCTCCAAACTGTTCTCCAGAGTGGTTGCACCAGTTTGCATTCCCACTAACAGCATAAGAGGATTCCCCTTTCTCTGCAACCTTGCCAATATCTGTTGTTTTCTGTCTTGTTAATTTTAGCCATTCTGACAGGTGTGAGGTGGTATCTCATGTAGTTTTGATTTGCATTTCCCTGATGCCGAGTGAGTACTGTCTTCTAAAACATGAGCCTGTCTGTCCTTTGCATACCATGGACAGACCCTTTGGCATCCATCCCTGTGAGGGTTGCCTGTTGTCCACCGGTGCTCAGCACTGGCTCTCTCTACTTCTAGGGCCAGCACCTCTATTTCCCTTTGGGGACTCACTCTTCCCCAAACTTCAATCTCTGTCTTCTCAACCCCCTGGCTCCAGGGGGCAACCATGTTAAGGCCTGGCCAATGGAACTAGTACATCATTTTGGCCACAGCAATTGGTTCAGAAATGGGATGTGGTGTGTTCCCTAGCCCAGGCCAAGCTCAGCAGGCAGAATGTGAGTGCAGAACCACTGGTGACCATCTCTGTCATCACCTGTCCCTGAGAACATGCCTGAGAAGGAAGCAACATGTAGGAAAGCAGATCTGTGAGAAGGAAAGAGACATTCCCAGGACTCACTTGCAGTCCTGGATCTAGCCATGCCTGAAGGCACCTACCCTTGAACTTTTCAATTGTATCAGGCAATATTTCCCACTTTTGTTTAATTCAGTTTAAGTTGGGATTTTACAATCTGTAACAAAGAGCCCTAACCCATCCACCCCCCCATAGTCATTCACTCATTCACTCACTCATTCATCAAGTGTTTGTGGTATGCCTTCTATGCACCAAGCACAATGCAAGGCACAAGAGCATCTTCATTCCACCTAGAGGTCTGTGGCAGGATTAGTCCCATAGGCAGACATCAGGGATGGAAAAAATCATTTTTCAATGACCGTTAATGCTCATCATTCACAAATAAAAGGATTATTTCCCTTCCTTGCTCTGAATTCCAATTCTACAATGGCAAACAAGTTTCCTCTATTCCTTGGTGGCTGTCTTACACATGAACCTTTAATTGTAAAGCTTTCTCCTGATGCCTGTGATGAGTAGCCAAATAAATACAACAATTTCTCAGAACTTTACTGAGCATTGTCTCTTATAAGACCTTGAGTCAAGTCTATGAACCTATAGGACAAAGGCTTCTGCAGGTTCCTGTCAGAGAAAACCTCAGTGATGAGCAGGACGTTCCCACAGGCAGCAAGTCACATCTTTGGGGAACCATAAAGGAGAGGGAGGATGGTCTTCATGAATTCCAGACTCCAAAGGTCAGTGTGGATCTACTAGAGCACTCTGGGGTGTGCCAGACTGGGGGTCGGAGACCCGAGTCTGCTCTGCCCATGACCAGCCGTTGGGCAAATCACTTCCATTTCGTGTATATAAAATCAGAATGTTGAATTAGCTGGACCTCATTGTTCTGGTCCCTCCCAACACCGTGTGTCTTTGTTAACTTACAGTCTTTAGATGATACAAAATTCATACAGGGTCATAGTCCCTATTCTACCATTGTCAGGTCCAAAAAGCTCTGAAAACCAAAAGATTTTTTAAAAACTTATTTGGCAGCCAAACCTGGCCTAGACCAACACAAAACTATTTATAGTCTTTATTATCCCACTTAGTGTGAATATTTATACATTTCACCACAGGAATATTAATGGGCTTGTTTACAATGTACTGAGCCAGACTCCACCAGGAATGTTCTATAAGACACAGAATAGGCACCATATTGCCTTTCTAAAATTCAAAAAAAATCTAAGTTTTCCTAAAACTTCTAGCTCCAGCACTTTTGAATCAGGTTTTATAGACTGACATTAAGATCACTGTGCCTGCAACAGTCTCCCGTAGAAGATGCTTGTCTCCCCAGCTTGCCCACACTCTACCTTTCTTGTCCATGTCACTAAGGTTCTGTCCCTGTCACTAACCCTTTCTCCCCAAATAGAATTGTCCCCTTTCTCCTATCTGTGCTGGATATCTTCTGTCTGCATAGTGGTTCTAACTGGGACTATTGGGGCTTGCATCTTTTCTTCATGAAAACATTTCCTCTCCTCTGGGGCCCCGTTCTCTATAAAAGACCAGGCGCTGAGCTAATGAAATAAGTCATCTAAGGAATGTATCAGGGTTTTAGTTCCTCTCCCTGGACAAGGCATCTGCATTTCTAACACAACTTTTTTCACTTATTTTTATTTTTCATTGTGGTAACATACTCATCACACAAAATTTACCTTCTCACTAATTTTTAAGTGTACATTTCATAGCATTAAGTATACTCATATAGTTGTGCCAGCAATCTTCAGAACTTTTTCATACCCATTAAACACTAACCTCCCATGCGCCACTCCCCCAGCCCCTGGCAACCATCATTCTACTTTCTGTCTCTATGAATTTGAGTACTCTACGTACCTCATATAAGTGGAATCAGACAGCATTTGTCTGCTTTGTGACTGGCTTATCTCACTTAGCATAATGTCCTCAAGGTTCATCCACTTTGTATCATGTGTCAGAATTTTCCTTTTAAGGCTGAAAAATATTCCATTGTGGGTATATACCAAATTTTATCATCATTCATTCATTGATGGACAATTGGGTTGCTTCTGCCTTTTGGCTATTGTGGGCAATTCTGCTATGAATATGGGTGTTCTATATTGTATATTTTTAAACCCCTTGATTTACATTCCCTCATGGGTAGAGCCGCTTGATTCTGCCTCTCTCTGCTGTTATAGCCCTAGTGAGAGCAGGAAAACAGTATCGTCTTGGGAAAGAGGAGGATTTCCCCCAGAGAAAGGAAAAACGAAGGGAGAGTCTATCTCATCTGCCCCACGGATAATGGAGAAAGCTTGCTCCATTATCCAGAGAAGACAATGTCCGTGAGGTGGGTCATAGGGGCAGGGGACTTGACCTTCCCTCTCTGGGACAAAAATCCCCAAATGAGCAGACCTGCAAGATTCCAGACGAGATCGGGCACGTTCAGGGTGGTATGGCCGTAGACTGGACCTGCTAGATTCCAGAGGGCAGTGTCCGGAATGCCAGCTGGATTGGGAGAATGGTGCCTGAGACGCTGTGGCCTGCTTCCTTGGGCTTACCCACGAGATGACAGGAAGAGGCACTTCCTAAACATTTGTGGCAGTGTTGCGGCACTGTGAACAGTGGCTAGATAGAGGAGCCTGAGCATGGGGCAGAAGACGGGCTGATGGGTGAGCTGAAGCCACGAGTCAGAACGAAGAGGCCCCATGAGTGGGGATCTTCTAACCAGGGCAAAGGCCCCAGGCACAGACTCCCGAGGAGGCTGCCAAGATATCCCTAAAAGTCCAGATGGGGCTAATCATCTGTGTGGACCAGAGCAGCCTCATGCCACAGGATCCGGCTATTGTCCTGCAGATTCTGCGAGTATTCAAAGCCTTGTGCCCTCACTGCCATCAGGACCCACCTGCACTTCTCCCTTCCCCACCTCCACGGCCACAAAGCTTCTTAGGAAGGTGGGAAGGGGCAGAGAGGTCCCTAAGGAGACACACTTTGCAACAGAGACTCTTTAAAATTTACAACTGAGGGATGCCTGGTTGGCTCAGTCGGTTAAGCATCTGCCTTTGGCTTGGGTCATGATCTCAGGGTCCTGGGATCAAGTCCCGCATTGGGCTCCTTCCTCAGCAGGGAGCCTGCTTCTCCGTCTGCCTGCCGCTCCCCCTGTTTGTGTTCTCTCTCTCTCTGACAAATAAATAAATGAAATCTTAAAAAAATAAAAAAATACACTAAAATTAAGAAAAATTTGCAACTGAAAAAACAGATGAGGAGGTCCTGACCAGCTGATGCACCCATCCCCCAACTGCTTGTGCGGCTGCTAAATGCTCCTGGGGGTGGCTCCCCCCAGGGCAGTATCTCAGCAATGGAAGCTACCACACAGGGAGACA